CATAACTACAATAGGATTTGAGTGATGGGTTCGTGTCCTCCCCTCTGGAAAAGCAACCAACCGGTGTGTTGCCCCTCCCATGCAAGATCTGAAGACGACTCTCATACATTATCTCTCAAAATCTGTCTTAGGTTTGGCTTGATCCAGAGCTTTCCACTTGAGTTCAGTATCAGAGCAAGTCATGATGGTACCAACGGTGGCTCTTGAACATGGAATGACCATGTTGCTCTCTCTTTTGTTTTAGCAGTTGATGCAGGGCCATCATCAAGCTCTGGATGTCACGCTGCTGGAGGCTACTGTTACTCTACAGATTGTCCACGAGGAAGAAGACGAATTGGGACATGTGGCTCACTTAGACGTCCTTGCTGCAAATGACAAGTAAGATCTACTTGGAAAGGTTCTTTCCGGGAAGGTAGCTTGCTTAACGAATATCCCTATAGGCGCATCCATGTAGCGCTTGTCTTCTGCAGTCTGCTTCATCTCTTGAAAAGGCTTTTCATTGCATTTTTAAAATTGAATTGCATTGGGGGAGGAAAAGAGAGGAAAACAATGCAGGTTGGGGGGGTAGCTTCCACAGGCTATAATCATGACTAGGCTTGGTATAAGATGAAAATATGTCCAGACGAAGAAGAAGAAAATAAGTTTTGCTTGATTTCCTAGCCCATGAGTGACAGGTGAGAGGAATATATCATTCCAGCATGGAAGTACAGGTCTTTTCACTACAAGGAGATCTTTTAAGATCACTGGGCTCATGATGAAAGGGGGTGTCAGCCTGCAGAATCTTATGGGAAATCAAATTAGTTGATCTTTAAGCTGCCACTGTTATTTATGCAAATAATGAGAAGACAAAGCTCACTGGAAATCAACACCAGCAGTGGTGGGATTAGAAACATCTGACTTGATTCTGTAGCCTCCCCGTGTAAACTCAGGGCTCACACGTGAGAAAAGAACCTCAATTGTACCGATTCATTTCAGCCCTCTGTTGTAGAGATACATTTTTTATTTCACACGTGAGAAAAGAACCTCAATTGTACCAATTCATTACAGCCCTCTGTTGTAGAGATACATTTATTTGACCATCTGGGGTGTGTGTGTGTGTGTGTGTGTGTGTGTGTGTGTGTGTGTGTATCAGCAGCAAAATTTGCATTGTTTGGAATCCATTTCTTTCTGTTAGAACCATTCTAGCAAGCTACGCTGCTCTTTAATTTTGTATTGATTCATTTTCTCTACTATTTCTTGGGGATAATCAGGCTCGCCCTTTCCCCTTTTTTTAAATTACCAAAGGTGGTATATTGATGCAGCTGTACAAGCCTTCTCTCCTCCTCCCCTTTTCCCTTCCCTCCTTTACATGCCCCCTTTTCTTTAATTCCCTGCATATCTCTCCCTCTCAGTTCTTGTCTTTCGTTTTTCTTTTTCCTCTTGAACAGCGTCAGGAGGAGGAAGTGGATTTTAAAAGACTTGCAAAGTATTGTGAAAAGTTAGGTTAAAATATGCAATTCTTCTTTCTTTTCAATTCAAAGCGGGAAATTTCAAGCCCTCTTTCTTCCACAAGGGAAGAAAGATCAAGGCCTTACTCTCAAGAAAGGAATCTGGCAAGCACATCCAGCCAAGATTTTGAGAAGCTTCTTTTCCTACCAAATCCAGAGTTCTGCAATACCCACCCTGATGTGGGTGCTTCACAGGTCAAAAGCTAGCAAGCACTTGTGATTTTTTTTTGTACTCTACTAGAAATATAACCCACTCTTGCCTTCAGAAAGTGTACAAAAATCACCCTGCTCCCCCACGTTGAGTTTTTGAGTTGACCCAGTAAACTAAACGACAGCCTTGAGTTTGCAGGAACTGAGGTGGGCTATTAATGACAGTACTTTTTGGTGGTCTCTGATTCACAGTCAAAGTTTGGGGGATGTTTCAAGTTCTGCTTACAATTTTATGAGGAAAAGCATTTTGTTGTTCAAAAGCCATCTACACAAAGGGTCGGATATGTTTTCCTTCCACGTCTGCTTATTTAAACTAGCATGTGAGCTTTTTACAAGGGGCACAAGATTTTATTTTATTTAACAACATGAACATAGAAGGTCCCACCGTTTAAGTTGTGTTCCTCATGAAATGACATCTGTTGCACTTTGCGGAGTGAAACACGTGCTTTGCCTGGGTGACGCCTTAGGTATGTTGTGTTGTATCTCCACCCTGAAACTCCAGAAAGTTACAAATACTGAGTCTGAAAGTGTTTTTTCTCTTCTTGTAGGTTGCTGCTTATTCACGGTAGCTTTCTCAGAGGCACCGAGGGCGGTCTTTCTGCTGTACCGCCATGCTCACCCCCAGAATCAATGCTCATTTCAGCTCTCGACAGATTCTCTCTGAATTCGATTCTTTTTCTGTCCTTATCAATTAAAGTCTCATCTGAGGACCTGCATTTGTGAAGTGTGCTTCTGTGTTTTGGGAAAAATAGTTCGGGAATCAAAATCTCAAATGAGGCCACTGAGCCATCCAGGGGTTTGGAGAGGAAGCATAAAGGTGAATATTCATTGCCATAAGATGACGCAGTGATCATTAGCTCACATAGTTTCCAAAAGGAGAGTGTGGAAGTCTGGCAGCATGCTACTTTCCCAATCGATTACAATGAGATTATCACATATGACTCATTCAAAGGTATATAGAAAAATTAAAGGCCTCTCAATTCTAGATGATGGGCACTGTCTAGACAGACTTGCGGTCTTAGATAACAGAGCTCTCCTTATTTTCTTTTACCTCCACTTTCCTTTCCAAATGTTACAATTATACATTGTTGGGAGGCAGTGGGAGCCTCCAGGAATTTGAACATAGGAGGAGGGGGTTGTAAATCCATGATTTAATCTGAAATTTACAGAAGCTTTGGAAGGTGAGAGGACTGAGGACCTTGGACCGCTCAGGTAAATTTTGGGAAAACTCTGGAGCATTTTCCGGGCTCCTAAGAAATCTGCGTCCCAGCAACTTCACCATCTTGAGGTGCAAGGGCTGTATAGGGGGAAGGCTTGTGCAGAAATTGTTCCAAATTTGGTAACCAAAGCAAAAGGGTTGAACTAACACGGATGGCTCTAAACATCATCCACTTAACATAAGAGCTCCCTCTTTCTTAAGCCATTTCTGCCTTGCTAAGGCTTGGAAATAGAGAAAGGATATCAGATAGCCGAGAGAAACTGAACCACAAGAGATACCCAGGATCATGAAAAAGGAACAGGACAGTCAAGCTTATCCACGAAGTGTCACAACGGGTTTGCCAAAAGGATGAGGTCTAGACAGGCTTATATAAAGTTTTGTGATCCAACAGAGATTCAAGAAACGGGTGGGACATCTGGAAGGTGATGGAATCTAGGAAGCTTTGGAAGAAAAGAGACACCCTGGTAGAAATATAGGTCTTGGGTACGTAGTGAGTGTAGGGCACAGCAATAGAACTGCTGACAGCAGGATGTTGACCTGGGAGAGAATGGGCAGGCAGAACTGCACTGCGTTTTCTCAGCTTGCATCTGAACATTCAGAATGGACATAATCTGTGCAATGGGAGAATACTTGGACACGGTGCCCTCCCATGCTAAATTGGACCCAATTATGATATTCTCTGGGCTTAAATTTTTTTTTGTGAATTCTTGGGAACAGAATATCCATGGATCCTCCTCATCATTGCCTCTTTGGACGCACTCCATCACCACCACCACCACCACCCTCTCTTTGGTCCCATGCCTTTGGCACATCACCCTATCAATCAAATCCAATGGAAAGGCCATCTGACATCGTCTAAGCGGGAATTAAGATTGCTGGAAGGAATATCAACAACCTCAGATATGCGGATGATACCACTCTGACGGCAGAAAGTGAGGAGGAATTAAACAACCTCTTAACAACAACAACAATGGAGGGGGATCTGCCACACTTTGAAATCTCCTGCTATCCTTGGGGGCCTCCTATTCATTAAACTTTATGGGGGGAAGAATGGCTAGTAGAGAACAACCACAAGGGGGCTTTTCAGTTTCAACAATTTTGGTTAAACCTTTTTTAAAATTTACAAATATACCCATTGTAGTAGCTTA